TGAGGCCACAAAAATGGTGTTAGGTTTTTTCTATGTCTTTTGGTAAGCAAGATGTTAGGCTTCAAAGCTTCCTAGCCTCTGATTTCACTAGGATTTTGTACAAGTGGTCAAAGTCTAACTTCAGCAAAACCAAGACTGGAGGCCACTGAAAATTTTAATATCTTGAGGCTGAGGCATGTTGGCCAGACTCACATGGAAAAGTGTGCCTTAATAATTATCCTGTAAGTAAGTAGAAGGCATCAGTTTTCAGGCATACCCTTGACTTCTAGGCAGACCTGTAACTTTCATCTTAGATGTCTGCCCTTGTGGTTTGTTATTTTTCTCTGTAAGAGCACAAATATGCAGCACAGGGCATGAGCTTAACTAAGTCTAAAAGAATTACCACTTATGCACCAGTCTTCATGTTCATTTGTACTGGGCAACTTTTTGACATACACCATTTTTGACTAACAAATGTTTAGGTCATCCAAGTCAGTCTGGAGGAAAGCATCTCAAAATTGCTTCATGGTTTTTGGCGCAATGGTTCATTAGTGAAAGGAGAACCAAACTGAACCAGAGAAGTAAATCATTTTCCTGGCAGTATGTCCTCCTTTAGAAAACAGGTGACCTGATGCCATTTGCTGAAACAAATGAAAGCGTAAGACCACTAAATTCAGCAATGCGAAAACTGCCTTTAAAATGTACCAATGCAAAAGCAAAATAATACATTCTCAGTTGGCCTGAGGTCACTCAGTTTTTCTGCTAGCCCTAAAATGTAACAAAAGCAGATTTGAATGTACTTGAAAGATGTGCTTGAATCAGAGTTGCTGAGTGCACAAAGAGGATTCAGATCTCAAAAAGGTGGAGTACAAACTATCCTTCCCCTCACACCAGACCATTCTTCTCAAAGTCTCAAAGCATAGAAAACAGCAATTTTAAAGCCTAGATAATTCAAAAGCAGTTTAGCAGATTTTCTCCAACCTTTCCAGATTTTTTTTTTTCCTCTGGGCTGAGACCAACCGTGAGAAAATTCAGCCCAAATGGCAATTTTGGGGGAAAAATTATAACCTGCTGAAAGAGAAGGTTTAGAATGAAAATGCTTTTCAGCCATAACTATTCCACATCAATCTTTAACACTTTAACTAATGCATTATTAAACTACAGTTTATTATATGAATTATGTATATATAATGTATAAATGCATATATTAGTGTATATGTAATGCAGTAGCCAAATATTATGGAAAAAGGTAAGCTTTCTGAATAACAATAAGTGTAAGCAAAATATATGTAGAAACAGAAGAGATATTATACAACTATTAACAAGAACCCATCTTTACAAATGAAAGGCTCTGACATTTGCCCAGACCAAAAATCCAATTTTACAGCACTGGGAGATAAGGAATTAAATAGAGTGCAGATATCATCTAAACTGGTATTAAAAGGTTAGCAGTGCTTAAAATTGATTAGTTACCAAGAACAGCCAGCCTACATCGCAGGCTGTGAGAAGAGTGTTGGCCAGATGTTGCTGAAGCTTTAGTTGCCATTTTAAAAAACTCTCGGGCTAGGCAAGAGCTTCACAGATTGCAAAGTGGGGAACATAACTCTGTTACAAGGCAGGCATCCCAGCATGTTACACAGCGGCAAAGTTAACAACAGTTGGGGGGGAAACAAAAAAACCCACATTAAAAACCTTTAAAAAGACTTAGTAGATCACATGGGCTCCATACCTGTGGGAACAAAACCGCCCTGCAATTTTGGAATTAGGAACCAGTTAGTTTGAGGAAGGAAAGGCCATGAATGGATAAGTCCTTTAGAAACTGGAAGATCAGAGAACTAAGAGATATGTCAGAATATAGATGAGTACCATACACCAAATTTCAGACTATGGCAGGTTATGTAAAGATATCCAGGAAAGATCACACTCTCTCCAAGATCAATCTAAACTACTTACTGCTTTCCTAGCTGTCGTCAAGGCAGGAAAAAAAGAATAAAATAAATTTTTAAAGACAGACAAACAGTTAGCACTGGCATATGGGTGTGTCATTTTCATTGCCGAGAAATGTCACAGATGACAGTAGCAAAAGCAATATGTGACTGCTGACAAAGATGACTTCATTGCTAGGATTAATAGCAAAAAAAAAGAAAAAGGTCAGAAAGGGCTAAGGACTAGTTAGATATTTGGTCGAACATGGTGATGCAAACTCTCCACAAATGCAGATACAGTAAATATATTATAGCAGATAAGTCTGTAAGTCTTTTAAAGGTAAAATTTTAGTTTTGCCATTATGGATTTGCCATGAAGAAAAGGTGTCGAAACCTTATGAATCATAAGGAAATCTAATGAAGTGTCAAAGCACCTATTTACCTTGAAAATACAAGACATTCTCAAACAAAGGAAAGCAAAAGGAAAGAAAAGAAGTTATTCTGCTCCCGTAGAGAAATCAGGCAGCACTTCAGTAATTAATATTTATTACTTATGGCACCTTTCATACATTGAAAATGCTGAACAAATACCAACTGACCTGTACAACACTCCTACAATACGTGATACACATAATCATGGAAATTACAGTAGGGAGCTGGCAATGAAATAAAGTCCTGGAGATCCTCCCTTGTGGGGAAAAGCATTGCACGTGAGATGAGGCTGCCATGTAGGGATTGCATAGCACACCTGAGGACACAGTTTACACCGAAACTGGAGAGACAGAGGAAGAGAGGAAGACAAAAAGGTGGGCAAACCTCCACGGGATATGCAAATGAGATGCTTATAAATCAAAGCAGCAGCAGCCGATTTTGACATGTGGCTATTTTCAGGTTTGGAGGTAATCACATTCAAGTTGAGCACAACGTCTGCAGGCAAAGCCCCACCAGAAAATGGAAAAAGCTTTTTCCCCTCCCAGCACATAGAACCATAAAATGTCCTGAGTTAGAAGGGACCCACGACGATCATTGAGTCCAACTCCTTACTCCACACAAGACAACCTAAAAGTTAAACCATATATCGAAGAGCATCCAAACACTTCTTGAACACCAACAGGCTTTGGGCCATGGCCACTTCCCTGAGGAGCTTACTCCAGTGCTTCACCACCCTCACAGTGAAGAACTTTGTGCTAATAACCAATCTGAACATCCCGTGACGCAGCTCTAGGCCATTCCCTCGCATCCCATCACTGGACACCAGAGAGGAGAGATCAGCACCGCTCACCCTCATGAGGAATTTGTAGACAGCAATGAGGTCTCCCCTCAGCCTCCTCTTTTCTAAGCTGAACAAACCTAGTATCCTCAGCTGCTCTTGTTAAGTCTTGCCCTCTAGTCCTTTCACCATCTTCGTTGCCTCCCTGTGGACACACTCAAAGATTTTTATATCCTTCTTACCACACACAGCGCTCAAAGGGAGGCTGCACCAATGCTGGGTAAAGTGGAACAATCACTTCTTTTGACCGGTTAGCTACACTGGGCTTAATGCACCCCAGGTTGGCCCTTTTGGTCACCAGGGCACACTGTTGACTCATATTGAGCTTCCCATCAACCCAAAACCCCAGATCCCTTTCTGCAAGGGTGCACTCCAGCCTCTTGTCCCCCAATCCACAGATACATCCAGGATTATACTGTCCCAGGTGCAGAATTTGGCATTTGTCCTCGTTAAACATCATACGGATGGTGATTGTCCAGCGTTCTAATCTATCCAGATCTCTATATTAGGGCTCTCTACCCTCAAAGGAATCAACAGCTCCTCTTAATTTAGTATCATCAGCAAACTTAGTGTGGACTCAACTCCTGTGCCCGGGTCATTGATAAAAACATTGAAGAGAACTGGCTCCCGAGGAGCGGATGGTTTTGCTTGTTTCTTTTAATCGGAGCATGGGGTTAAAGACAGAGACCAAGAATCAGTTCACAGCCTCCACCAGCTAAACTCTCTGCTTGAGATTGATTCATTATAAATCAGCTTTCTTGCAGCTTAGTTTACCCATCTGTAAAACAGGTAATTCTGAGCCAGACCATCAGCTGTGGGCTGGCACAGATCCACTCGGTTCCCAGTGTCAGAAGGGGACATATTTGGCCAAAATTAAGCGTCACACATCCCTGGTGAGGCAGGCAGTGATTTACATCATAACCTGGCTCACTGCATCCATGTCTACATGGACGGGCACAGACATGAGAGGATGCTGCTCTGATCCAGATGTTGCAGAGCTCTTCTTCAGCTGAAGTGGCAATGCAGCTTCCAGAGGGGATCTGTCCTGTGCCTGGCATGTGGCTTGTGTCTATAGGGCACCCACCCATAAAAAAACCAATTTTTCTGCACCTCACAGGTGCAATAAAGTTTTCTTAATCGCAACTAATTGGGCCTCTACTGTTGACAATGAAGTCTCATATGTCCAGGCTGGTCTGTGAAACATTGCTGGTTTCAAAATATTATTTTTATTCTTGTTAGAATAAGCAATTCCCTGCAACGCTCTCCCAAACTATGTTTGGGAAGTGAAATGACAAAATCAAACAAGAACAACCTCTTGAAATTCAATTTATGGAGTCAGACAGAAAGTAAATAAGCACACACCTGACAGGAAAGCTTCACTTCACTATATCAACCGAGCATATGAATTGAACAGGCTTCAGGATTTTCTGCCCAATTAACATAACTTCAAAATCTTTCTCTGGTCAAGAGTTCCCAGCCCAGGGTATTCCTTGGCAGAACCTCAAGACATCCTTCTTGTACAGAGAAACAGCAAAAAATGTTTCTCTTATGTGACCTGCTTCCTGGTCTTGACCCAGCATAAAGATCGATGGTTTAGTTGTTTAATTTCCCCAAAGAGTTTTGGCTTTTCCACAAGGTTAAAATATAATATGGATTATATACAGACTACAAGAAGAGCCTAATACACAGTATGCAATATTAATCATAGGTGATGTTTTCAGAATATAAAAATATAATATCCTCAGAAATCATTCCATGTATTTTTAAAAGGACCCGAAGAATTCAGGGATGGTACAAGAGTTCTCTTTAAAAAAGAAAAATCTTACCTGTTACAAGCTGTTGTCCAGCTAGTCCTACTGGAACCATCCGCAGGTTATTCATAGCTGTAGCCCAAGCTGTCGGATCAGTGACTGACATGTTAAGTTGTGTGGTATCTATAGCTATACTTCCCAAACCATCAGCTGCTGCAAGAAAGGAAACACACTGTAAATAGAAAAGTCAACGTGCCAGGATTTTTAACCAAAACCTTCAGCGAAAATGAGATGTCACAACCACTGCTTATTTTGGGTTTGTTCTGTTTCTTAATTATGATTCACCTTTTAGGCCATTGATAATCGTGCTTGGCATTGGATAGCAAAACATAAAGACATTGGAAACATTCAGCAGACATAAAATGAAACAAGAGTGATTCAGGCTGGTTATATGGAAAACTTTTTCACCATGAGGGCAGTCAAGCAGTGGAACAGGCTGTGCAGTTGCCACCCTTGGCAGCTTTCAAGACTCAACTTGATAAAGCCCTGAGCAACAGGTCTGACCCTATGGCTGGCCTTGCTTTGAGCAGGAGGTTGGCTTGGAGACCTTCTGAGGCCCCTCCCAACCTGAATGAATTGCCCTGAAATCCTCTGATATCATTTAATTATATATAACCTGTGGCAACTTGTTAGAAAGCTGTGAGAACCAAACACACCCCAAGGAAAGACTTGTTTTCCATAAGGTGCAAATTTTTTTCAGTAAAAGATTGAAGAATATATTAGCCTCTAACTAAAAAAAGGTCAAACCAAATTGATTCACCATAGGAAATACCAAGTTTTGTTTTAAAAACAAAAGAGAATTCTCATGAATATGGTCAAAATAGACTGAACCCAGGCATGGATTTTCCTGATTTGGGGAAGGAACAGTGGGTTGGATAGCTAAGAAATGGTACGTTTCTGATACTGAACCCCTAAACACAAGGTGTGATCACACATTTTTGCTTCCCCCTCCCCAGTCACAGCTGAAATCAGCTCCTTCCAGCTGTTTTCTTACGACCTTTGCAGACCTGAGATATTTACCGGCAGCCATTGCTTTTCCCCGGTTCCTTTTGCTCCTATTAGACTTCTTCAGCTAGGAATAATTAACTACTGTATTAGCAGCATCTTGAGATGGGATATCACTGAATGCAGGGCCCACACACAGCTCATTAGGCTCTGAAAGAGAAAAGACGAAATCAGCTATCAAGTGCTGCAGTCAGAACATCGTTGCAAAACAACAGACTGCTTTGGGAATCCACTCGAAGCTCCTGCCCGCTCCCTCTGGATCACCAGCCCCGGCCTCCTCGCACGCATTTAGCGGCCGCGGTAGAGGCGTTTCAGCCAACGCTCATCCTTGCCTGCTGAACAAACAGTGCCACGTATGAACCTGTTGGACCGCTGAAAAGCCTTTCACAAATTAGGTCTTATCAGTAGCTACGCAGCCTCCTCAGCATGAAGGCATCAGCTGAAAGAACATATTAAGGGATGAATGTGATTTTTTTTTTTTTTTAAACTGTTAACAATTAACTGATGTTGCAACTTTCACGGAAATAGTCTCCTGTTCTGAGATGAAAAGTGGAAAAAAAGTACTCCGCAATGATTTACAGAAAGGAGCCTGCAGAGACGTGGAAAAGTAAGAAAACCTAACAAAGCTGAGGATGATGCCTGCTCCTTAACTAACACCGTATCTTTGGCTCACAAAGGTTAGTTAGCTTGAAGCAAAGGTGGAATACCTTCTTCTAGCTAAACCACGTTGCTTTCATCAGGTATCTGTCAGACCATGAATTTTTTTACATAAGGGTAACTTCTTGCTCTCGCTGTTGTCATTTATGAAGCTCACCGCGGCAGCGCATCGCTGGTGGGAAAGGAGGCTGAAGGAGCAAATGGGTGAGAGGTGTCACCAAAGGCTGTGAGCTCCCAGCACTCCCAGTAGCGGGAGAAAACGCTGGGGTGAGGATGATCACAGATACTTACCCATGTTAGTCTTTGTGCATTAGTTACCCGTGACTGGGGGCAAAGGGGGGGCTGCGTTATTTTTTTGGTTGGCCAGTAGCCTGGGGGCTCTGACTTACCGTGTTTGGTCCTAGTGGCCAACAACCGACTGTTTGAGGAGGTCATTGATGCTGTGCAGGTGCATCTCAGTGACTTGTTCAGCCCTAAGGTATTTGTGCTGTCTTTAAAAAAGTACTCGAAAGACCTTAATTAAGAGGTTTCCAACATGTACACCCTAAGAATTCATCTTTAGAGAAGTCACAATTAACGTGATTACACTATACTTTAGCTTAGTACCTCCCACGCTTTTGTTTTTTTCATGCGATGTGCCTAAAGTACAAGCCAAGAAAGTTTTATATTATAGATCCCTGACACTGTACAGATCACTTCATAGGAACATGGCCACATCAATGGCTGTAAAAGTGAAGAAAGAGTCAGGATCAGGCAATGCTGCACATTTTTTAGTATGTTGCAATTATCAAATAACCAGTATACTAGGTTAAAAAGCATTTTGTTCAAATCTACAGTGGGTCTATTTAAAAGTCAATATTTATCAACTCTTAATATTTGAATTTGCAATTCCCATTCTTATTTGATCTCCACTATTCATTATACATAACATAAAATAATTTTATGATAAAACTGGCTTTTAAATAACATCTATAAACACCAAACAAACATTGAACAGAAGTCCTCTGCAGGGAATGTGACTAACATAAGGCAAGCCACTCAAGATTTATGTCATGTTTTTAAAAACTGGGTGTCTCCTGTTCAGCTCCTTAAACTTGTACTTAGCTCTTTCCACTCAGGCTGTAAACTTCTGAGCACAAACATCTATTTCAAGCGTAGAGCAGGCTGAATTAATCCTTGTCAATAAGTTACTTCTCACACAGTACAGCCCCCCTCGCTCTTTATGAATCATTCCCAAATCAATCCTGATTCACAAATATATGCTGAATAGCCCAGATGAGAGTGGTTCACTTTTTCCCGTGACAGGCAGCCTTGTTGCATTGATGTTGGAAGGTGGGTCTGAAAACTAATCGCGATGAAATGCCTCTTCATACCTCGCCGTGCACTAGTTCCTTGTCCCCAAAATGCATCACCCTGATTACTGGGGAGGACGGAGGTGCTGCCCCATGGTTTTGGAGCAAAGGCATCTCAGGCAGGTACGGATTACTGGGATAAAGGGTAGAAAATGGGTGTTGGACTGTCTCTTCCACCCCTTCTCCCCCTGTTTTACTGCCTTGAGAAGTGTGCACCGGGTGACAGAACGAGGTCTGCTGATGAATTCTACACGCTCTTCTCCTCAAACCCACATCACAGTTGTACCAGCTCTGCCAGAAATGGGGACTGGTCCATGAAGAAGCGGGCACTAGGCTAGACAAATGCACCTCAGCCTACTGAGAATTAATAGGTGACTTTTTTGATGTTTGGCTTCTACCGGGTTGTCCACATCTTTCAAACTTTGGTATACTTTCATGAATTAGCCCCAAGTATTTGTTAAAGTCCTGGCAGAGGAGGAAGAACATAACACCGCGAATATGAAATAAAGCACAATCGGGGGGTTAATTGCTGAAACTCCTGTTGTCCTATGCCACCAACTCTGCTCAATGTGCCATGAAAGTCCTTGCTGGAAACATACTCTCATAGCCCATGCTGGCTCTGGACAGCTTTGCTTTCTCTCTGGCCATCAAGTCTACTGTTTTATCAGCAGGACCTGGATGTAGCACAGGCTGAACCAGGGGAAAAAACACAAAAGAGCACATGAGGAGCCTAAAGTGGAACTAGCCCTATCTAACCGAGAACCGCTGCAGGCTATTTTGTCAGTGGAAGAGAGCTGAATAACAAGCATAAATGCACCTGTGAACACTGAATAATTTGCAGCAAGCTGTAGGCAGAACTAATGCCACATCCTGAAGGACACAGCCTGTAGAAACTAGCTCTCTTAAAAAGAAAAATACTAATTGTGAACATCCCTTCTACTGACAACTCACCGGTTACATTAACACAGAGCAACATAATACGGCTAAAATAATCTCACAGGCATTTCACACCTGATTTAGACTCAAACATTAGCTTTTGTTTAGAAACTTCTGAAAATTCAGATGGGGAAGGTTTCATTAATGCTTAAAGTAAAATCAGCTTTGGGCAAATTTCAGCATTTCTTTGCATAGCTCAGACACTGCACTATTATACCCTTCATGACTCTGGAAACAAAACAATCCAGGGAAACAAATAAACCCGCTCACTGGGTCATATAAAAACCAGAAAGTGCTGTGTTTGGTGAGAAATACATCTAATAGCAAAGATTCTTGCTTTCTTAAAAATAAAAGGAATCACTGTGATACTGGTTAAGCAGGCAGGAAAGCGTAAGCTTATGCAGGAATCCTGTGTATCCTGAGCAGACATTAATCAACACCGTTTCACTGACATCACACCTTTAGAAAGCATTCCTGATTTATAACTCATTAGTACTCCTCTGGGCATTAATGACCTGAAGATATATGTAAAAGAAATCTGTATTTATAAACACTTGTGCATGGGAGTAGCTTTACTCCAGGGGAGTAACGTCAGGAGCAAATAAAGCCATAATCCTGATTTACAGGAGAAAATGTGTAAAGTCTTCTGGGTGCTGCTGTTCCTTGAGGTTTGGGAGGGGCAGGGATGTTAATCCAAACTTCCTTATTTGAGCGCTTCAGATTAACAAAATTTTAATGCCAAACACTTTTTAAAGCGATACCATGTTACACTTTTTGTGGTCTCTCTTTTTGCAGACACAATGCAAGTACCAGTCCTTGGATGGTGGGTTGTTGGAGACATTTAGTCTTTCCTCAGACAGGTTGTCACGAAGATAAAGCACCCTCAAGTCCATACCAATGAGCACTTCTCAGTCATAGCAGTCATAGCAGATTGTACTTAGCACGCATATTTTATACCAGGCAATTAAATGCAGTTACCCAAATGAATACAGAAGTCGGTTATATATTGTGCATCAATTATCACAGGCAATGAATGCCATGAGACAAAGAAATTAACACAACATAAAACTAATTCAATAACACAGCAGATTGCTAAGTTAAAACCCTACCCTTTAGATATCCGTAACAGCACAGACAATGAATTACGACACGGAGCGAAGCTGATTAAATGCACCACTCTAACGAGGCTCTGCGGAGAGCCCGGGTCAGTGGCCAGCCCCAGGATGCAAGGAGGAGGTTCTCTGCCCAATTCTGACACCGACCTGCTGGGTGACCTTCAGTCATTTCACCTCTTTGTCTCATTTTGGTGACCACTAAATCCTTCAAGGAAAAGACTGCTGCCACCAACCTTTTGAAACCCGGGACTATGAGTCGCAAAGACATTAAACGCTATTGGTGACAGTTCTCGAGACAACACAGATGGGAAGGAGCGATGCGATATCTTGTGAACTGGTACATCTAGGCGAGCTTTCCAATTCTTAAAAGAACGGCATGTGCGAAAGGTTTGTTACCGTTCCCTGTGATTCATAGGACAGCGGTCATTAGGTTGGTCATACTCCACCTGACCTGCCAAAGTACAGGTCATTTACCAGGCTAGCTCCAGCTGTCTTCTTAATTATATAAAGCGTTTCATACTGTTTCTTCCCAGTGTTTTTCCTTCTCCAGCTGCAGACAGGACTCCCAGTAAAGAAGGAAGAAGAAGAAAGAAAAGTACAGTTCTGCCAGTCACCATCCATTTCTTCCTGACCATGTTAGGACGAAGAAGAAAGCTGGGAGTAGCAACAAGGAACATGATACTTTTGCGCCGTAGCCATCCTACCTGGAGCACATGAAAAAAAAAGACATATCCAACGTGACTCTGAAGATGGCTCTTATTAGTAAATATTGCATGTGCAGTGTTTCAAGAAGAGGCATTGTCTCATGTTTTTGCACGGTTAGTGGTATGTTAACACCTAGAAAACCTCACCTAAATCCTGAAATTCAAAAGGAATTGAAGGAAAACACACGTTTCTTGCAACAATTTGCAAAAAGAGATTTACTAATTCAATTAAAAAAAATATATGAGGTACCAGAGCATTTTTGAAAGTGTCTGATTTTTTGGGATGGGACCCTAACTTAGGCATCTAATGTATGCTTCAGCCCCCACAGCTCTACTGAAGAGAGGCCAGTTGCTTTCACCCTGTTTACCTGGTTTTGTCTGTCACA